GTGGGATCGTCTAGGGCACATTCTATAAATTGCAGTTCTATGCTGATGCACCGACGCACCAGACGTATTGACGTCGTCAACCTGACCGACCAATCATAGCGAATTACGGGCAGTGACGCGCTTTCCTACCCGCCTCCTTGTTTGTGTGTGTAGCGGTAGCACATGGAGAGCGATGGCTGAAAGCCAAACAGATTTGGTCGCTAAAAAAAATTCCACCTCCATTATATGGAATTGGTTTGGATTTTCAGCAACTGATCAAGCGCAAGCAAATGTAATTTGCAAAGTTTGCACAGAAACCGTTCGTACGTCAGGTGGTAACACAACGAACCTGTTTAATCACCTGAAGAGGAAGCACTAAAGCACTAGCACTAGCAACTGTTGCACTAAAAGAGATAACCACAGTCACTTTACTTTGTATTTTTGCGTTTCAATAAGCTATTTAGTGTTTTGATAAATAAATCCTGTTTAAATGACTGTCAGTAATGTCTTTGATTGATATTTTACTTTCTGTTACTACTTTTGCAAGAGTGCACTTTATTAGGATGTTGTTGTTGTTTACCTTAAACTTTACGTTGTTTGCACATGCAGGCAAAACTGCGACTATTTGAAATAAAATCTGTTAAGAAAGGTTCTTTGGTCTAAATTGTCTGTTTTTCTTTTTCCAATTTAAGATCGTGATAAAATCGAAATCGTGATTTTATTTTTAAAAAATCGTGATATGATATTTTTGCCATATCGCCCACCCCTACCCTCACATAAGGTTTGACACTCCTGTGCTATTTTTGCATGATGTAGTTCAAGTCACGACCAGGGGAAATTATATTCTAAACTGTTTTGCAGAGTCCACTAAAGCCCAACGTCAGCAAACTTAACATATGACAATTCAGCTTTAACTTCATCCACATATACATATATATATATATATATTTATTTTAAATAGTTGATTGTAAATTTCAATCTGCAGTATTTAATTAGTCCATTTATTACATTCTTTTATACATGGTTCCAGTGTTGTAAATTCTTAAAATGTATATAGTTTTTAATGTGCAATAAAGTTATTTATGAAGCTCTTGCTTTAACTTTGTTGATGGTTTTTATAGAACACATCTGGTATGAATTTTCACAATGGTAACACAGCACTGCACAGCATTGTGTGGCTATTTCTGTTAGCTTTAATCAATAACATAAATACTAGAAATGTTTAAATGTTGCTGTCTGACAGCACTGACAATGAAGGATCAAAAAACATGCTGTCATTTGGTAAATACTTTCACCTGTGGAGGTGGTGACAGTGCTCAAGTTGATCCATCACTTAATCAAAGTTTAATATTTATAAATTCTGTTCTTAAAAGTGATGCTACCATCACCTGTCAACAACGGCAGAAATGAAGTTGCAGGTAAGAAACTGAACCTGTGAATACTGAAGACAGAGAATAATAAACAAACTCATCAGCCGTTAGTCTGTCATTTCATCAGAGGAAGCTGGACTGGGAGTGGTTTTCTAACATCATCATCACAGCACGTTTGAGAACTAAGGATGTCCATGCAGTCTCCCTTCTCCACAAAAAATGAACATCATGTTGTATTGAAGAAGACTTCAAACTAGACTATAAATACACTAGAAAAATGTTTACTGACGTAATAAATCAAGTGAGAGGTAGGGTCATTTTCCCATAGACTTCAATACAGTCAAACTTCTTTTTGCAACTAGTGGAGTTGCCCCCTGATGGTCATTCAATAAAATGCAAGTTTAAGGCATTTCCACATTTGCTTCATTTTCCAGACCCGGAGTCGACGTCCATTTTTATATACAGTCTATGGTTCAAACCCTAACATGCTAATGACCTCTGTTGGCTTTGTGTAAAACCCAGTGTTAACAAGGTATCAGCAGATTGTATTTACCATCCATTTTCAACCATGGCCTGTTCCCAAACCCCCAACCTCCAGGTCCAAATGTCCGATATTTGGTTATCAATATGGATCACACTTTACAAACAGCACACATAAAAATGACAAAACTGGCAATGCCAATTCATCCCATAATTAATCCTTTGTATCAAAAATTTTCTAGATTTTTTTCTCCTAGAAATTTCAGTTAGCTGAAAACTCAGCACCGCCACAGCATCACAGCGCATGATTCAACACATATCCAGTGCCACCCCTAGCACCAATAGAAAGCATTTAGCTGCAGCATGCAACAGGACCAGGACCTCACACAGAGCATGTGCACTGCTCCAGAGCTGTGCCTCACCAGGCAACATCTTTCTTGCATTTGTCTTTGTAATAACATGATTGTGGGTTGTACAGCTCTTCATCTTTCTCGACCTCAACAAGTAGTCTCTCCTCATCCTTTGTACACTCATGAGATACAGCGACATAGTCAGCAAGAGGTGCGGAGAAGAAAGTAGAGCTAGTACAGAAGCCAGGAAGAACAGAAGAACCTTTGTGGCGAGGCTCAAAGTAGAACAGTGGTGTTTAAGTGTTGCGTACCGGTGCGTGGGTGTGCGCCAGCACATGGCTAGCTGTCTCCTGTGTGGGAGTTGAACATAAGAAAATAATAGGGATGGGTGCTTTTACACACAGTGCTCGGCAGTGGTGTGTTTTGACTTTTAGTCCCTCAATCTCAAGCATGAGGATTTAACCCCCACTTGTGCTATCAAGCATGTGGTCTTCATCTTTCAACTGGAAGTTTTAAATTTCTCTTTTTCTTATTTCATGACAGCAGCTCAAATCTATGAAACCTCATCAACATCGAACATGATAGTCTGAATTCTGCTCTATTTCCAAAACAAAGTCTCAGACTCTTCAAGGTCAAATCTCCAATATTCAAATTCTTAGCACATGACGGTTCCCTCATTTTAATTAGTTTTGTGCTCTAAAAATTCCTAATTTTCCAGCTATTTTCAAAAATGTTTTACTCTATACCAAAACTAGGTAGTGCAAGGCCATCATCCAATTCTCATAAAATTTCATCTACATCATCCATAGACAAAACATTACCAAAACAATGTGGATATGACAATCTGTTTTCAAACAAAAAAAAATTTAAACCTTTGTCATTATGATCATAAATGCTCATAAACCAAAATTGGCTGAAGCTATTGTAATCAAACTTGGTGTATGCTTTCAGACACTAGGTCCTGTATTAGGTTGGGGTTAGGGTTAGGGTTCTTGTAATATCCAAATGTGAAAAGATCAATCCTATAAATGGCTGAATTGATCTATATGAATTTCAGTTTGCAAGATGTACGGTCATCACTCTGTGCATGCATAAATTTAGGTAATGATTGATTAAAGTGGGCGTGACTTGTTACAAACAATCTGAATTTCTACACATTCCACCTTCCAAACGCCAAAAAATCTTAATAAATCACCTGTATATCCCACAGAGCTGAGATTTTTTTCAGCACAGCCACTGAATGATGATGAAAGTTTGCTTCACTGTAACCTATGGTTAATTCAGAAGTTCATGACTATATTTTTCAAAATATGCAAAATTAATTAACATTTAGATCTCCATAAGTCTTCATTGAAATACTACCAAAACTGATAAAGACATTCTCTAGATAGTAGATATCAAGTGTTTTCAAACATTTTTTGGGTAAACGGTGAGTCTGCAGTGATATTCATCATCTTGCTGTCATTTTTACTGTATGCACAACATTTCCGATTTCATCTAAATTTTAAGCAAATATCACCAAAATATTTCACAATACACTTACAAAAGTTTGAGAGTATTCAAGAGTATTTTTCAAAATTTTAACACCAACAGCTAAATTTTTGTGACGTTAAGTTTCAAGCCATCTGTATTTATTCATTCATTCATTTATTTATTTAAATTTTTCGAGTGACAAGAAGGGCATATCAGCGCACATCTGAAAAGTTATGGAAGTTAAATTCGAAGTGGACTTATTTGGTGGATATTGGACACTAGGTGGCCTTTTTTGACAGAATTTGACCCTGCAAAAACCTTCCAACTTTGGTGGAATGTGTCCTACTTGCCTAGCACCAGTGGACCTGCAGGTCCGACTTGCTCTTTTGGCGGTCAGGTGCGAATGGCTTGGGGGCTTGGACCCCATTCATACCTGCCTGCAGCCGTTAAAGTTGTACTGCAGCATAAAGTGTAACAGCCATTTAGGTGAAATTTTTAGGGTGGTGCACACATGTCAGACACCAAAAATGACATGTCTGGATAAGCTCCCACATTTTAAATAACACTTTCAAAACCCTTATATATCCGTGTTCCCTGAATGTAGCTGAATCTCATGATATAGGCCACACCTCTTTCTGGCTATCATTGTTTTCGCAAAATGGCAAAATTTCTGAAAACCCCGTTTTCAATCTCCTCCAAGGCTTTGAGTCCAATCTGCCCAAAATGTTACATGAAGAATCTTGATCAAAAGTGATTTTAGATTGTCTAAAAAATAAGCAAGTTAAAAAGAAACAACTTCCTGTAGCTAGCAGTCAAAACAGGAACTGTGACCTTTCTTGGGAAGTATCAATCCTTTTCAAAGATTTCAAACTGGTTTCAAAAAGGTTAATGACATTTAAAACTAGGCAGATGTGGCTTCACTTACTGGTGATGTTTTCAGTTTATGTTTCATGGTCAGAGAAACTCATGAAAAGGGAAAAACTTGGGAAGGAAAGAAAGTAAAGCACAAGATTTCTAAAAAGCCTAATATGAGTAAAAGCAATTTTTCCAACTGTAATTGCCCCTTTTATTTTCTAACTATTTAAGAGCCGTGACTCAGTTCTGCAGTAGAGTGGTCAGGTGTATTCTAATTACATATGTCACAGATGTCAAGTATTTTGTAAATTTCACTGAGTAAACCAAACCTTTGTTTCCCAAAGGTGTAAGAACTAGTTTGAAAACTTATCTGAAAAGCTACTAAGCTGCATGTAGAATATCTGCCGATGATTCCAGGCTGACTGGTGGGAAAACAAAGGTTTGGTTTTAGAATAGGGATGTCTTTAACTTTGTGATTGACCATTCTTCTCAGGCAAGGGACCGGAGACCCTGTATGCCGGGCAAAAGCTCAATGATAATGAATGGCATACAGTGCGTGTGGTGCGTCGTGGCAAAACCTACAAGCTAACGGTTGACGATGATGTAGCAGAAGGTACTTATCAACATCAACTCAGTTCATGCAGAAATGTTTTGAAAATGTTTCCTTGTCGGTGATATTACAAAATACTGTGGTGTGTTGCCATAGAAACTGATCAGTTTGTAGCTGTGTTACAAAAAAAACATTAGTAACGGTTGCTATTGATGGATTTTCTCCTTAAATCAGCCCTCTTGTGTTAGTGTCAGACAGTGTTCTCTTTTCTTTTCGTTTTTTGTCTTTCTTTTCAACCCATCCCCTCCACCCTCCCCGTCTTCAGGCCAAATGGTGGGTGACCACACTCGTCTGGAGTTCCACAACATTGAAACAGGCATCATGACAGAGCGCCGATTTGTTTCCAGCATCCCGTCCAGCTTCATTGGTCATTTGCAGAGCCTGAGGTACTCAGAAAATTTACTTCTAATTTACTTTTTAAATTTATATAGAGTTTAACAAATAATTATAAAAACAAATAATTTGGTTCTCAATGTTCTCTCTGTGTACAGAAGATGAGGGAGGAGATGGTGAAGAACCTCAAAACAGCTAAAGAGCCAGTTGTTTTTTGTCAGGAAAACGAGAGTGTAAAGTTAATACTGGACTTGTTAATGTGGCTAATTGTGTATCCAAAATACATGAGTTCAAACGTTTAAATATGCCTTATAAATTTGTAAGATAAACAATGCATGAGAAAGTGTGTTTGACAGTCTGTTGTGGAGTTGTGGATTTCCTCAGCCCCTATATGGCTAAAAAAAAAAATCACTTATTTCAATACACAATGCATTGACTGGAGATTTATTTAGCTAAGGGTCTAGCTTATCCAAACATTTCTTTACTTTCAATTATCCGTGACTGACATCTAATAATATAACAAACAAGTTATTTACAGTGTGTGTTCCTTTTGGTTTCTCAGATTTAATGGCATGCTCTACATCGACCTGTGCAAGAACGGTGACATCGATTACTGCGAGCTTAATGCTCGCTTTGGGATTCGTTCCATTATTGCTGACCCTGTCACCTTCAAATCCAAGAGCAGCTATCTGAGCCTCGCCACCCTGCAGGCCTACACATCCATGCACCTCTTCTTCCAGTTCAAGACCACCTCCCCAGATGGCTTCATACTCTTCAACTCTGGAGACGGCAATGATTTCATCGCTGTAGAACTGGTGAAAGGGTAAGGTTTATTCATGAGGGACTCTTGTTGACCTTTTGCATGTTGACACCTTCAAGGTTTAATAGTAACATTACAATTAACAATGCAATCAAATGACAATGTGAAAGCAATATGCCAATGTAATAAGAGTTATTTGTAGTGATTAACCTAGTGTAGTGATGAACCTAGAGCGTTTTCATTGAATCGGCGGATCTCCTGTAGAGAGCTTTATAGCAGGTAGCTCAAGTGTCCATTGATAAGCAGCTCAAACATGTTAAGCTAGTGTCCATCAGAAATCAGGCCCAACCACGTTAGCACAACAGAAATGTGATCAAATGAAATAAGCAGACTGAGAACGTATCACATTGTCCATAATAAGGAACATTAACAATTATCTACAAAAATACAAACAAATTAAAGACAATGACTGTGTGCGCCACTTGACCCATGGGCATGTATATTATTCCTCTGTGTCCATGCTGATTCTGACCCACAATACCACAGTCACACCCTAAACTAAACTCAGGTCATGTGACTCGTTACTCTCCAAATTAAAACAAAGACTTAGATAAAGGGCAGTTCATGTTTCAACCAAACATTATTTTATACTGGTATATTCTGGAAAAATCTTTTATCAATATTCGTCTTTTAACAGCTTATTTATTGCATTTTAATTATTTTTAAATGATCATGAATTTATGATAGAACCATTTTAAATAAACATGTCAATAAAACTGTCTCTTAGACAGTTACAGCACGTTTCACCTCAGCTGCTCTTTGGGTTCACAGTCAGTCTTCTCATACCAGGCGCCAAAACCAGTATCAGTAAGCAAGCAAAAAAAAAGCACCAAAAAAGAGGGAGAATATTAGACTTTCATATGTAAGGTGGACAGTCTTACAAATCCAAATGAATGATGTTGTTCTCTAACTTCTGGATGAGTAAAAACGACTACAGGTTTGAGATACTTGGAGTTTCTCAGATATTTTTAGGTGATCTATTTCAGTGGCTCTAAACCATTACCAATCACGACCCTCCAGAAGAATCAAGTTGGTGTTTGCAACAACAGTGCCAGCATACAGTGGGTGGCTGCAAGTTGTTTAACGCTTTGTGGTGTCTAAATATTTTTGGCACATGATTTCAGAGCCTGAAGGTGTAATGTTCTCCAACCCCTGTGGATTTGATGCATTCTTTGAGTTTCCTCCCCCTGACCTGCCAGAGCAGCACCTCCTCTCTGGTCCGGGACCTCCTGATTTACAATTACAGCACTGAACATCTGGCACAGTCTTTCAGCTATGCAGGTCTCTTTGTAGATGTGAGAGATGTGTTGTAAGGGGGTTTTCTATAGATCTGGAACCACAAGGCAGAACACAGAGGTGAAGTTCTTTATTTGAAAACTAGTAATAGTAGTTAAGTTGTGGGGGCGTGGTTTGAGATGGCAATCAGGGGCAAACCGCTGGCTGGCTAGTTGAAGATAGTGGAGCAGAGCTGAGTGGAAGAAAACCACAGAGTGGGGCAGATGATCAAGATCAAACAGAACTGCTCACAGTACTCCACCTTATCAGGCAGACGAAGAACGAGCCAGAAGAGGTGAACGGAGAGACAGGGATCAACTGTACTTGAACTGGACCTGCAAGGAGGAAGCAGGTTACAAAAAATCAAAAAAAGCATGAACGAGATCCACAAGAGCAGGAGTCGGCTGAAGCGTGACACCACTGCTGCAGGGTGTAGTGTTGATTGAGGATGGAGGGAGCAGGAACCAGCAAGCCAAGCCTAGCTAGACAGACACACATACACACAGAGAAAAACACACATCAGGGAAAAAAGGGCAAGAGAGACCTAATCCTAACATTTTGTTTAGCTGGTTTCCAAGCACTTCTGAAAAAATAACAAACTGTGGATGTTCCAACTTGGTTTTGGCTGTGTGTAAATTCAGGCTGATATTTGTGAAGCTTTTGGCAGCTTGGGGCTCTGTCAGAACTGCCACAGACACCTTACGTTTCTCAGTTGATGGTGCTGCTGTGGGACTTTCAGATGATTCACCTTGAGACTCACCTGACTCGATCCATTTGATAGCTAAAAACTGGCTATAGTTGCTGCCTAATGCAGCTTTTGTGGCATAAAAGCAGCATTTTTTTTCTTCTATTTGTGTCCAATCATAAACTAATGCAGCACACTTTGACTCTCAAAAATAAATTATATCGGGGTATAGCTGATGTATGTAAAACCATTCCCCATTCTATGTTATTTTATTTTTAATATGTTGCACTTTTTTTCTCCACAACCATCTGGCTACGCACAGAAATTATCTCGAGCCCCTCTTGGGGCTGCGGTATTTTAACAGTGCAGAAACACACTCACTGAGCACTTAGGAACAACCGTGCACCTGCGTATTCATGCAGTTATCCAATCAGCCAATCATATGGCAGCTTCAGGTAACGTTACCGTCAAACATGGGGAAAAATGTGATTTTAGACTTCTGCCCTCCTGGGATCTTAACATACTACAGCCTCTATAGTTTACTCAGAGTAGAGTAAGAGTGACCACTTTTACAGCTCTGGTGAGCAGAAAAGCTTAAGAATGAGGTGGAGGACAACAGCAGACAACCACATCAGGTTCCACTGGTGTCACCAAGAACAGAGAAACGTAGCCTGATGTGATGAATCTTCTGATCAGCTTTCTGCTGAGGCAAACACATGGTAGGATCAGAATGGACCTGACCTACCATGTCCAGTCTGGTTGTGGTAATTACCCCTTAGGGGCCCAATATGTGCCAAGAAGACATTCCTCATACTATTTCCCTACCATCACCAGACTGGCTCATTGTTTTAATGTCTATCATCATGTCTATATGTTCATATCTTCAAGGACACAGTGTTACGATTTGGTATTAAATTCTGTTTGGACCCCAGGGCAGATTCAGATACAGACATAACAGGATGGATGCACTAAAAGTTCTTTATTGGCATAAGCCAAACTCAGAAAATGCAAAGGGAGAGTTTTAGTGTGGGGTGCAGGGGGGAAAGGGATCCAAGTGGAGGCTGGTGGCGTCTGGAGTTGGAAAGCCAATGCATGCAGGTGAGTATTGGGCGTGGAGATGGCAGGTGAGTATAGTGACAGGTAATGGTGGTGTATCTTCAGCAGGAGCAGGCACAGCACTGGTTCTGGCAATAACTGAAGTGAGGAGACACACTGATGAGTATTTTCTCAAAAGAACAAGGATGAGCTATCAAATAAAGTTTCTTTCACTAGAGCAAAAGTTGGCCCGAAGAGTTACCACAGTGAGATCGGCACAATCTGGCAACGAGCGAGTGAAGAGCTGGGGTTTCTTATACAGGGCTTGATGAGTGATTAGTAACAGGTGTGCCAGGTCATCAGTGCTGCGCCACAGCCCTGCTGTGAAACTAGCTGTTTATATTGTAACCACGACAACAAAGATTATCTAATGTTGAGGAAGTTCTTATTTCAACCCAAATCAACATCTTTTCCTAAACCTAACTAGGCCATGGCCATTATTATAGTAACCATGGTGACAAAGGTAGGTATACACTGCTGATGGTACAGTCAGTACTATCTCTATGGCAAAACATGACAACTGAGGTCTGGACGCTATTTCAGGAGATGCTCCCATGGATCGTAGGGTTGATGGTTGTTCAGGTTGGAGGAGTTGTTGGGATCTGAATATAAAAGAACACCTCTGAGATCTACAGGATCACCACAGGCTGTTGGTGTTCCTAATAAAGTGCTTGTTAATGTGGATATATTACAGCAGTGAATCTATTTGAATATGATTTAAGGCAAACACTCTCAGTTTATCAATGTATTTGCTCTGTTGCCATCACATGTCTGCAGGGAAGAAGATGGAAACTGTTTTAAGTTAGGAAAGTAACGGTGAAGCTTAAACCAAATATAATATCTATACAACATCAGTATTATGTCAGTCTAATCCTTCGTGACTGGAGAGCACAGTGGTGCATTTGGCTGCACAGCTCCTCTAAGTACTTATGTTGGCACTTGTCTGCAGAATAAATCAATAAAATAATTAATTATAAATAAATAAATGGTTGGAAGGGCAACAACTCAGATCCAGTTTCTACCTAAATACCATGTTTGTGCATAAATGTAGGAAAGTCAGGAAGACAGGAACATGCCAATGTCTACACCCTCATGAAAACAATCTATATATATATATATGGGGAATTATACTGAGGATAAATCCTCATGATGCATTATACATTATATAATTCTCTGCAAGTGTGTCAAAATTCACTCTGGTTCTGGCTCAGGGAGACCAGTTTGTGTAATAAAAGGCATTTAAAGCAGAACGCTAAAGACTTCTGAAGCATTCTGTGACATTCAGCTACTCTCCTCTTGCAGATATATCCACTATGTGTTTGACCTTGGAAATGGACCGAACCTCATCAAAGGCAAGAGTGAAAGAGCCCTGAATGACAACCAGTGGCACAATGTGGCCATCACTCGAGACAACAGTAACACCCACACACTGAAAGTAGATGCCATAGCAACCAGTCAGAGTATCAATGGGGCCAAGAACCTGGACCTGAAAGGTATCCACAGGACAGTACACCTGTTATATGTTTATACCTCCATGTGTGTTCACTTTATATTCAGCCACTTCCAATGACTTTCATTCATAGTCATGCATTATTTTCCTCTAATTCTTTTTACATTTTACCTAGGTTAAAGTCAGTCTTCATACAGTAATACATTTCTATATGCTCATTTGTTATTGTATTATTTAAGTTGTACCACTTCACAATAAGACTTCAAGGCTTTTAGGATTCATAAGGAAGTTTTTATAAATTGTTTATAATTAGCGTATTCATTTGGTTGTTAACACTTTAAAATTCATAAATAAACAAGTTATAACACAGTTTTCATCATGATGCAGGCTCACTATTTGGCAAGATCAAGTTAATGCTTACTACTCAATCATTTTTTTGTAAAATGAGATGAAGAAACATGAAGATGATGGAGGGAGAATCACAGAGATGTGAACAGAAGGATAAAGAATGGGTGAGCAGTTCAACAAGTAAAGGAAGGTTACTACCTGTGTTCTACCTGGAATGCTCAAGTCCTAAAGAAGAGACCAACCAGCAGAAAGCATCTCCATGTTAGTATCCACTGTGTACAACAATCTGATCAACAGCTGTGATTAGAATGAGGACAGCTGCTGAGAACATGTCAAGGTAAACAACACTGCCAAGGCCTTGATATGATCATGTGATCTGCCATAATTTGATCTGCCAAATCAAACTTTCTGACCATTAATATCCTGATGGTGGTTCATTGCTAGAAATTTAGGAAACGTGATGAAGCAGCAGGTGCAAATGCTGGATGATTGAGAAAACAAAGAAAGCTCACTAATGAGATATGAGGCTGTACAGTACAGATACATGTGGGCTCACTATTTGGCAAGCAACAGGTCACTGTTGCCCTTTTCGTCTAATGTGTTATAACAACTTATACATGATTTACAAAGTGTTAACAAGCTAATAAGTGAACTAGTTAAACCATTTATAAGGGAAGTCCTATTGTAAAGTGATAACATTTAAATCATTCCATCTTATGTCAAAACATTTGAAGTTCACACATTCCTCACTGACTGAAGGTATTTATTTTAGAAGTAGCAGAGTGCAGAGTCATTTTTTGAAGTACCAACCCTGTCTTCCTAGAAATTAGGTTCATATACAACTAAATTGCAACCGAAACTACCTTTTTTAGGAAGCCTCATTGCAAGCAGTTTATAATGAGGATATAATATTAGCGTATGTATTTGGCAAGTAACAAATCTGTTGATAGTGAAAGTATCAGTAAAATGTGTTTACCGCCAAAGTATCCAATCTTGCAATCACAATATCCACTTGTACTAACTACAGCAAAGATCATGTGGTTTAATACAGAAAAGGTTTCTTGACCAAAATGCTTTTATTTCCTAAGCCTGATGTCAGTGGATACAAACCAGGTTCTGCCTCCACTTCTGTTAACAAATGTAGCATTTTATCCATTTTTTAAAATTATCCTTTTATTTTTATTTGAAAAAAAATACATTCCACAATGATCAATTTAGGAGTATTGAGCATGCAGAGCTTTCACTTTCACCTCAAATATTAGTTGAGGGGGAAAAGAGACAATAATAATATGTTAGATGCAATAAAATAATACTTACATATATAAAGTCACATTACACCATTGCTCATTCATTCTGACAAGTCAACTGAAATCTGACCTTATAGGTTTTCAGTCCACCTGGTCCAGATCAAGCAAATTTTTTCCTTTTGGACCTTGAGGGAAAATGACAGCCTTCTCATAATATAGATTTTGTTTATTATTCCTATCCATTCATCATCAGTGGGCGGTTCTGATTTTAGCCATTTCCTCATGACAGCCTTTTTATTCACTACCAGAAGTATTCTTATCAGTTTCTTATAATTTGTGCTTCATTCATTCAGAGAAAATGTTGATTCTGAATATAATCCAACCAGCGACTATGTTGTATATATATATATATATATATAAGATAATTTCTTCCACCACATTTTTGGACTTGTATTTCCTCTTGTTTAGGTTAGAGAGCAGTCAGTATGCTACTACCCAGTACAATATCACTAATCAAAACATCTGATAGCTTCTTTTTAAAGTGGTACTCCATACTAATACACTAATACACACAATCACAATCACAATCTTCTGCTCAGAATTAAATTGTATGTATCTGTTGGATTTGAAAGATCATTTCAGGATTCTTGTGCCCTTACCTAACCATGACTCTGTATGTTGACCCCCCCCCCCCCGTGTTGACCTATTAACATTAGATGATTCTGTACTGTGTCTATGTTTTCTATGCCCCAGGTGATCTGTTCATTGCAGGACTGGGTCCAGGCATGTATGGCAACCTGCCTAAACTCGTGGCTTCCAGAGAGGGCTTCCAGGGCTGTTTAGCATCAGTGGACCTCAACGGTCGCCTGCCAGACCTCCTCAATGACGCCTTGTTTCGCAGTGGGCAGATTGAACGTGGATGTGAAGGTACACCGTCCCTCAAATCCAGGCCTGACTTAGACTACTACAACACAAACTTCAACTCCAGTTCCGGCTCCGGCAGCCCTTTCTTCCTGCTAAATGCAAACAGTAGCTCCACAGCCCTTCATCCATGTGGGAGTCCCTGCATCCTATTGATTGTACTTGTTGCTTCACTTACCCACTGTTAGAGTCAGGCCAAATACTTCCTCACCTTATCGGCCACATTGGTCGCCCACTGACAGTGCTGTCACCACTACCATCAGAGCAGTTGTTGCCAGTGTAGTAACATTAAATACTGCCAGGTGCTTCATTTTTTTGTCTATGCTTTGTGAAGTTCAGTGTTTTTTTCAGAATTTAGTGAGTGATGAGACTTTTAAATAATATTATCATCATAATAAGGTACAGAGCTTCTAACAAGTGGCTGGTTCAGCTGTGTTGGTACAAAAATATTGATCGTACAGAGGGACATTCACACTGAGAGTAAGATTTTGCACTGCGGTAAAACTTTTTAATTGACCGTTCACTAAGCCATCTTCCCCAGAGGTTTGTTGCTATGCCTGTCGAGCTTTCTATGGATGTGCACTGCACTGCAACTGGCAGATTTGAAGAAAATAATAAACATCACCAGTTAATGATGGATGATGACATGTAAAAGGTTGAAACCCCTGGATTGAAGTACACTATTTTAAGAAAACATAATACATTCATGAACGTGTAACAAATGTTACATTTGTATTTTGAATCATCACATCTTTACAATATGATGCATAATAAAGGATTTTTTGGATGAGAACTAACCTGTGAGTTTAGCAAAGTGGTCTCAGGTCAGCGTTCCGCTAACGTACCCTTAGTTTTGAAATAATACCATCAAGGACTGGGGTTACTGTTTGGGGTAGGGGTTTAGGAAACGGTCAATTACAGGTGTACAAAGAAAAAATAAAATACAAATACTTTAAACCTTAAAGTTTATGAATGTAGTTGTGCAGTTTTACACATGCCCATTGGAAATCTCCATCAGGAAATACCTGGACTCCAGACCATACAGTTTGTTCACAAAGCAAAACTTGCCAAAGTTTTTAAATTGTTTTGTGTTAATTTACAATTCTTCATGCATATTATGTACATAACTGCATCAAAATAGGCTGTTAAAACATTTTGCACAAGCAAGCAAATGTCACTGTTGTTTCCATCTTCTGTGCAAGTCTTTCTTTTTTGCCCATTTCTGTCATCCTCTGAAGGTTCTGGGCCAGACTCCACAACCTGTTCTTGTTTGCATGGAAGTCATTTTCTGTGTAACAGTTTTTTTCTAATGTCCACCATATCATTCAGTTGGACATTGGGTATACCATATGTTTTTTTTATTTGTGTTTTAGCATTAACTTCTAGAGCTCCATGTTAGACAAATTAATGTGTTAGCTAATATTTCATTTGAATCAAAACAGAAAATAATACTCTGTGTACTGTATATGCTCCTCTTTGAGACAATCTCACTGGGGTTTATAACAATGTTATTCCCTGCACTGTATGTACTGCAAGAAAGTAATGGTTGATTAATTTATTTTTCAAAATAAAATGTCATCAATCACGGTTTGTTGGTCTTGTCCGTGGCATTCTAATGTCTCATTTTTCTGTGTTCCTGTACAGTTTATTTTCTTGTCAGTTTTGCTTTTCCTTCTTTTCTGCCTCCGTATCATGGTCAGTTGATGAGTCATTTAAACTGTTTTGTCATTTACAGCCTGCATTTCATTACAAAGTGTCATCACATAAAATGGGTTTGTGTGTCTTCAGACTGAGAGAACATCAAATCCCATTCATGATTTTTAAGTTGGCAGCTCAGGTTGTGGCAATACACTGTACCACCACTAGATAGTGGTACTGCACTGCTGGCAAACACTTTTCAGCAGAAGTGATATGGCTGTTGTTACATTAAATCCTGAACCAGATCAGTGCCACAGCAGGATATCACTTTAGTCATTGTAAGTTCCCACACTCCATCCTTCCTCCAACCCAACGGCACTTCACTTGGTCTTGAACAGTTCCTTTAACACAAGCAGCTCGCATCATTTCACCAGGTAAGTTTCCACTAAACACATTGACCTGTAGATGATTTCTATAGACTGATTGTTGGCCTGCTATTTGTTCAGATTCATTTACATGTTTGCATAAGGCAGATATAGTGAACATCTCCTGTTTTGAAGTTTCACAAAACAGTTGGAATTTTGTATGTATCATTCAAATATCAATATGATAACATGACAACATAGTGCATTGAAGAAACAAAACAACTTGTCAATATCACGTTCACTATTGCCTGTAGACTTAAATGTTGTTAGAAATGTGTGTGTTTTGTTCTTCAAATAGTAGTGCAGGGGCGTCGAGTGGCGTAGTGGTCTAAGCAGGCGCCCCATGTGTAGAGGCTACAGTCCTCGCTGCAGTTGGCCCTGGTTGGAGTCCCGCATGGGACGGCCCTTTGCTGCATGTGATTCCCCCTCTCTCTCTGCCTCCCCATCTCCTGTCTCTCTACTGTACTATCAAATAAAGGCATAAAAAAGCCCAAAATATATAGTTTAAAAAAAAAATAGTAGTGCAGTGTGCATAACCATGTCCATACATGTTTCTGTGTGTGTGTGTGCGTGTTTGTTTTGTTTGGGCATGGCTGGACTTCCACAGGTCCCAGCACCACCTGTCAGGAGGATTCCTGTGCCAACATGGGTATTTGTATCCAGCAGTGGGAGAACTACACCTGTGACTGCTCCATGACCTCCTACACAGGCACACAGTGCAATGACCGTGAGTACTGATGTCACTTTCAAATATATAACAATGACAGACTAAACAACGTCACCTCAGAGTAAATCACACCCCCTTAAACAAAAAGTGAGAGTAAATAAAAAAATCATTTTAGTGTCATGAACATTTTATGTCAGGTAAGTTTGGAAATCCTGTCCCACATACACAGACACACATTGCACATGTCGATGGTGTGTGTTGTCACAGAGAACATGTGTATTGATGGAACAAAAATACAGACTTCATAACTAGGGCTGAAAAATTTATCAAAATATCAAAATTGTAATATGGCCAAATTTGGATATTGCAAATCGCAGGAGATTCAATGATTTTGATAAAGGTAAAATGTGTCACAGCATGCTATTTTCAATGAAGCATTGTGGTGTTATTCTGCTTACATATCATATTCTCCAGACATAAAGGAACCATCTTGTTCAATACAGACCCCAGCAGAAATCACATGAAATGCAAAAATGATGCATACCCACTGAAATCATGACTCATATCACAGTTGCAATATCAAATATATAATATCAATGTCAAAATAATCATGATATGATTTGTTCATATCATATGATGTAATCATAACCTTTCTATGGCAAAACAATTTCAATGCAACAGAATAAATATACAAGGATGGAGTATTGTTTTTAGTGACAGTTTTAAAACTGTTTGTTTTAAACTCCTTTGTTTTGTAATGATCCAAAGGCTATAACACATGTAATGCTAATAATAATAATAATAATAAGAAGAAGAAGAATTCTGTCAGCCTGTTTCATTCTTTGTTTAACATGAACAGTCAAACTTTGTGATGACACTAAAGATTGGTTTCTTTTATTTTATCTTGCTCTCTGTCATGTTCCCAAACAAGCTTCAGGCAGATGACACAAATGCTGAAGTGGCTCATAACATGAATGTTATTCAGAAGCTACACATGATCAGAAACAACATTGCCACTAAGATTAATGGCGTCCTGAAGGCAATTCAAGATGTTAACAGACATGTGCGAGACTTTTCGGGTCACATGGATAAGGCAGAAGAGCGTATTAGTAACATTGAAGACACAGTTAACCAGGAGAAAGGCAAGACTGATGCGCTAGTTAAACAAGTAACTCTCCAAACTAACAAGCTTGAAAAACTTGAAAACCGTTCTCACTGATCCAACTTATGTCTGGTTAACGTACTAGAGAAAGTGATAAAAAACAATGCCATTGCTTTTCTCGAGAAGTGGCTACCCAAAGCACTGGGACCCAGAACATTCCCGACACCTCCTATCATTGAGAGAGTACACAGGTTGCACGGCAGGACAAAGTCCAATTGACCCCCCACGCCGAGAGTCCTCATCGTTAAGTTTTTAAACTTCCAAGATTAAGTGCGTGTGATGCGAGCAGCCAGGGCCAAAGGCAAAGTGTAGTGCAGCGGACAAGAAGTAATTTCTTCTTTACTTATCAACGGAGCTTCACCTTGTGTTTTGACAGGGTGAGACAGCTGAGTATGAATATTCACTATGGAACAATTTACCCAGCCAAGCTTCGTGTGACAATGGACAAACGCTAAAGTTTGAATCCTCGGCAAACGCTGAAATGTTATTCAATGCATGCAGAGCACAGAGGACACATCGAGCAACTAAAGTGGACTACTGAAATGTTGATTATCTTTCATCACGTAAGTTACAATGTGACTCAATCTGTCGGCCATTAAGTGAGTTTACATGTATGAAAGGTTATGTTTTTGCCTCTTGGTTGATTTTCTTTATATTGTTTTGTCTCTGCTCTAAATTCCTTAGGATTGTCAACATTTCAATTTTGTTAAAGTGAGAGGCAGACTGCCTGGCACCCTGTTAAAAGGGGTTATCTTTGTTTATTTGGGAAGCGGATATTCACTATATTGTCAGTTTTCCAGAAAGAGACATAAGCTGCAAGAGTGACTGTTCATTTAGTGTATGCTTGTTGGTGTAGAATATGTACTTTTGCCAGGAGACTCTAATGTCCCCACAAGCTCAACTGCTCCCTTGTTTACACTGGATCAGTCTGTGCTCTTAACTTAACCCTGAGGTCAGAGGGAGGGGTGGAGGGGGCGAGAGGCTGTGTTGTTCAGGATGACAGCTAAGGGGATTTATTTATGGCAGATCTTAAGTTTTATGTTTGCTTTTTGTTTTCCTCACTACTGGCAATCCTTCAACATTACCCAAGGAAAAAAAAAAACTACAACTAACAGATGATAATTTGCTGTACATTATATCTTAATAGTTTAAGATTACTTCAAATAAGAATTTAGTAATCACTTCTTGTAATGTAAAGGGGATGGTAAAATTGACTAAGCTAAAACAGGTTATGTTGTTGATTCACAACTCTGCCATTCCAAGTTAACAACACTATTTATGATAAAGCTGGTAGATTTTTTTGTGGTTCAGGGAACCCTCTTGAAAAAAAATATCAATTTGGTTTTGCTGGTGGCCACCGTTTCAGGTAAAGTAATAATGGCAGGAGATTTTAACTGCATTTTAGACCCGGAACTTGATCGTTCATCGGGGTTGGACACCTTCCATGCTCAATCTAGAAAGATAATACAACAGTTTATAAAGGACCTGAATATTTGTTACCCATGGAGTATTCAAACCCCAGCAAAAAGACTTCCAGTTAAACAGTCGTTCATCTAGTTGGTGTCACGTTTTGTGGTAAGCTGGACCCAAATGCAACCACACAAGGGACTAGTGAAAAAAATGTTTTAATAATAAAAAAAGTGACTACTTACGAAACACTGGTGAACCAACTGAACAGAAGCCGAAGCACAGGGAAACACAGGGGCCAATATTATATGCAAAGATTAGAGCTAAAGCTCTAGCTACCATGGATTTCATAATCTTATACAGATAAAGGCTAGACTATGAATTTGACTGGCCATATTTGCCAGACAGTGCACTGCACTCAGATATACTAAAAAGACACAGACAGACACACAGTTAGTTTGACACTGCAAAATTTTTACACAATTCAATATGTATTAGCTTAATATGACTGTATCTCATATTAATTTTTCTCTGATTTTAAACAGATATTTTAAGTTTTATTTGATTTATTTGATTAGCTGAAAAAGCAATCCCACTCTATGTTGTTTACAGATCAAAAAAGTTTCTCTTCGTTATTATTAGATTTGAATAACCATTGTTATTCAAATCTTTATCTTTTTTTTTCTTCTGTATGCTTTTCGGCAACTAACTAGTCCTTCATACTTTGTGCTACAAAAACCGTTCAACTATCAAAACGTTCAGCTTCTTCAGGAGATTTCTGCTTGTATGCTTTTTTCTACTATTTATCATTTTTGAAGTATTAAGCTTTTTCTGCAATTTATTTTGCCATTCAATTGAATGGAGATGATGTTCAAATCCTTTAAAACTTTCTGCCCTTTGAACTTTAACTACTTCAGCATACTTTCAGCTAGAGACTTCATTCAAACTTTAAATGTTCACAAGATTTGCTATAAAACTTGCATTCAACTTTTTTCATATCCTATACAGTTTTTGATTCATCACAAGTTTTAGACAACGTTGACAATGGACCTGTTGATTGGCTAAAAACAATAACACATACCTGTTTATTTGCATATAAAATGGGGAAGTGAGATTCGATCACAAGTGGTCAACCGAGACACATGTGCAGATGCATTTCAAATCAGATGTGAACTGACGATCTTAGAGCTAATCACGTGTGACTGGATCACTGAAGACACATGTTCATAGCAGGTCGGAACAGGGCCTGTGATCCTCCTTTTGCTTTCCTTCGATTGTTAACTACTCCAGCATACATTGTGCTACATAAACCGTTCAACTATCGCAACATTCAGCTTCTACAGGAGATTTATGCTCACCTTCAACTTTTTAATACTATTTATGATTTTTGAAATATTAGCTTTTTTTGCAATTTTTTACAATGTAAGTCAATGGAGGCAATGTTTAAATCCTTCAAAACTTCAAAACTGTTTAGGATGCACATCATCTTTTTGTTACTAATACAAATGATTTATTCTTTTACAGTTTTAAGGCATTTTATTTCTACTTCCACCTTTTGCAGCAACTGCTTTCAACTGTTTCAACATGTTTAACTTTTCAGCTTTTGCATATAATAGACTTCGTCTTCAGTTTAACATTTTGGCATCTAATTTTTCATTGCACTGCACTTTAGTTAATAGAAGCTGCTTTTATAATCATTTTAACATTGTGTCAGAAATCTCCTTCAGGTGTGACATTACAAGTTTTGCTTGTACATTTCTTCTTTCTTAGGTCTTTTTTTTTTTTTTTTTTTTAGCAATTTTAGGCCCTTTATCTTTCACTTCTTTTTTGTACATTTTGTACAGTTTTGTGCTGTTTGTTACACTTTCCATCAACAATTCAGGCGATTTTCAACCATTTCATGCCATTCAACCTCCAGCTTAAAAAATATATAGCTTCTTGTTGTAACAGTTGAGATATGTTACTTGCCAGTATGAGTTTCAGAGTTATAATTCAACTGAAACTGTGTCACACTCAGTAAAAACTAAGCAGTTACAATCTCCATGGCAACCTCTGAGTGCAGGGAGGGGGCACATAGTTGGACCAAATTATTTGATTAGATCAACCACTTTACTGACATTCCTGTCAAAGCCCAACTACAGACTGCTCCAACACTAAATACAAGACAATGATTTCACACCTCACAACTGTTTTCACTGGAAAGATGTTTCAGTCCAGAGAGACAGACAGGTAGGCAGGCAGGCAAGCAGAGAGTCAGAAAGGCAAAAAACAGATAGGGAGGCAGACAGACAGAAAGACAGACAGACAAACTGGCAGGCAGGTAGAAAGACAGACAAAAGTAAAGTCAGACAGCCAGAGAGACAGATGGACAAACATTATTAACAGAAAGAGGGAGACACAGACAGACAGGCAGCAAGACAGACAGAGTTAGTTGCAGCTCAGTTTATTTTATATGAATTTTTACATGCAATTTTCTTCCCATAGGAATGAA